TCAAAGATAGACTTTTTAAAAATCTGTTACTATGCTTTAACTTATTCTTGTCTAGCTTTTCCTTAGTACTCACTATAAAAAAATAAAAAAAAAAATCTCCTTTCCAAGACCATCAAGTCCATTAGGTATGTGTTCTGCTCCCATAGAACTGCAGACAACAATGTCACTATGCTCTTTGCCACTGTATAACTAGAATGCCCCCAGCTTTCAGTAACATGGATCTCAGTTCTTTTTCACTCTCACAAGGCAGTGTCATTAGAGTACAGATTTCTAATAACAATCTATTAATGACAATTTAGGCTTTGTCTAATTAATATGCTCCTCATAATCCTTCCAGCTTTTGTGTACTATCAGGTTTCAAAGCCACTCTTGTGTTCTTAGCATTTGTTATAGAAGCACCCAGTTCCAAGATACCAAAATCTGTTATGAAATAACATTGTCAATATTTGCAGAAGATGATTGCCTACTCATAATATCCAAGTGAATCTATAAGCTATTCAAAAGTTGCTGGTTATCTGATCATTATACAAAATCAAAATCAGCCCCTTGTTCTAGTTACAGCCCATGTTAAAAAAATAATAATAACAGACACAGCTATTATGGTATTTAACTTATTATATTGTAATTATTTGCTTTACAAATGTCTTCTCCATAGGTGCAAAGTTCCTTAAGGGAAGAGAATAACTCATTTATATTCATAACCTCAATTTCTAGCATACATCTATGTGTTCAATGAACATTTATCAAATGAATTATCAATCATCACTGGATTCTTAGTATCATTCACAGATACTTCTCCTGAAGAAAAAATAAATAAATTTAGTTGTGCATTTTAAAAACTATTATAGTAACTCTCCAGATTTTTAGTCATTAAAAAGAAAAGTCTCAGGCTCAAAGGATGCCATTCTTCACTTTTTTACTTGTTTGGACTGATAATGATTTAAATATTTAGTAATATACAGTGTTGTCAAGGATGAGGGTAAACTCACTATTGTATTCCTATAACTGCTGAATGATTGAGGTAAAGATGGTATAACCTCTTGGGAGAGCAATCTAATAACATCTAATAAAATTTAACATGCCTCAACTAAGCAAGCCTATATCATGGAATTTATTCTACAGATACTTATTTATGTTTGCAAAGCTTATATACAAGATTATGTACAATAGCATTGTTAGCAATGGAAAAATGGAACTTAAAATTTATCAATAGAGAATTATTTAAATAAATTATGGCATAACAATATAATGAAATCTTATGCAGCTATTAGGAAGAATGAGGCATATGATTACACATGCACTAATCTCTAAGACGTATAAAGTAGAAAAGGCAGAGTGTTCCCATTTCTACTTATTACTTACGTAGAAATATTTAGGGAGGATATTAGGACGGTATTTTCTCTGGGTAGGGGGATTGAGCAACTGAAAGGACAACCTAATATTCTCTACATATCCTTTGTAGTTTATGTATTTGTTTATTGACATTAAAACTGTGAAATTTGGGACTCCTGGGTGGCTCAGCAGTTGAGCATCTGCCTTCGGCTCAGGGTGTGATTCTGGAGTCCTAGGATCAAGTCCGGGGTCAGGCTCCCTGCAGCGGGCCTGCTTTTCTCTCTGCCTGTGTTCTGCCTCTCTCTCTGTGTGTCTCTCATGAATAATTAAATCTTAAAAAAAAAAAAAAAACAGAAACTGTGAAATATTTTGTCCATAAAATCCTTCATTTATTCCTATTCATTTATTTACTAAAAGATAAGTTTTTACTGACATCACCACTTCTAGAACTTCTCAATTACAGGGTATTTCTCCCTCTTACATCTACCGTTGGAACTATACCTCAAGTCCTTAAATAAATAGTACTTTAAAGACTGATGGGTGACACAGATATTTTTTAGAACATATTTTACTAGACGTTTTATTAAATGTTGTCTATTATTCAGAGACATGGGCACTAAGTCCTAGGTAAATGTCCAGAAAACTATATATATATATTTTTTTTCTTTTTCTTTCTTTTTTTTTTTTTCTTCAGAAAACTATATTGTAGTGACTGAAGTAAATGGCTGGGAAGAACTTGTCAGATATTTTGAAACTAAGATCTGCATGGAAATTAATGGTTTGGCTCAAATATGATGACTGAACAGAGGTCCAAAATGACTCAATGGTATGATTTTTAAAAATTAATATATTTTAGGTAGCAATAAGCTGCAACTATACAAACCAATCTTTAACAAATATTGTACACCTGAAAAATCTTAATTAATTAATATCCTTTGCATATTGTTTAACTATTACGGAGATAAACTTTCTGACTGGAATGAAGAAATACTGATATTGTAAAACAAAAGTATATTTTCTTTTTAAAAAAATCTAATTTTATTAATTCTTTTGTTGAAGTACAGTTGATACATAATGTTACATTAGTTTCAGTTTACAAGATATTGATTTAACAATTCTATACCTTCATGCTATGTTTATCACAAGTGTGGCTACAATCTGTCATCATATAGCCCTATCATAATACCATTGACTATAATTGCTCTACCTTTCATCCCTGTGATGTATGCATTTCATAACTGGAAGCATAACTCCCTTTCACCCATTTTACCCATCTGTCCACCATCCCCTCTTTTGGCAACTACCAGTTTGTTCTCTTAAAAAAAAAGAATTTTTTGGCACTGCTGCAACTTCTATCTTTATGGTGAGTTAATTAAATGAAGGCTCTTTCAAGTTTAGAAATTTGAAAATTTATTAAAAGAAAGAAAAACTCCACAAATGTAGGCTTAATTTACTATTTAAAACATTATCCTATAAAGGTACAAAATTCCTAATTTACTGATTATGGTCATTAAAGGAAGCATTTAAGAAAGCTACAGAGCACAGTTATAAAAAGTATGGGCTTTTCAGTCATACCAGAATTCAAATTCTAATTCTCTCCCTAGCTGTGTGGTAGTGGGAAAGTTATTTCACCCCTCTAAGCCTTATTTCTTAAACTATAAGATGGGGATAATATGAATTACATGTAACATCTTACAAGGTTGTTATATTAAGGGAAAAACCGTATACAAAACACTTAGCACAGGGTACCTGGGTGGCTCAGTTGGTTAAGTGTCTGTGCTTGGCTCAGGTTATTATCTCAGTGTTCTGGGATCGAGCTCTGTGATGGGTTCCCCTGATTAGTGGGGAGTCTGCTTCTCTCTCTCCCTCTGTCATTCATGCTCTCTCTCTCAAATAAATAATAAAATTAAAAAAAAAATAAATCAAATACTTAGCACAATACTGACCCACAGTAAGACAGATCTCACAATTATTATTATTACTCTTTAAATATCCAGCAGAGAGGGGGAATAAGATGTACTACACATTTCTTTTGAGTTTTCCAGAAAGAGCTTCATTTATTAGACAAATGCTTATGTACATATCAAATTTTACATACCACCTTTTGCATTCCTGGGGCAGATCAACACATTTCATTGCTACCTTGAGAAGTTAATGAATATAAGTAACTTTATTGGTGCCTAGAAATAATAATTCTGTCTCGATTATCTATCACATTTTATAGTCTCAATATGCTGAGTATAGGTCACAGCCAATTTGGAATAGTATACTCATTTGTGAACACAGTTGAAGAGACAATGCCAGACTGATAGGTATGATTACAGAACAACCAAGAGAGTGAAGAACATGAAAACCACAACACATAAAACATGGTTTAAGAAACTGTGTCTACTTCATTTAGAGAAGATTTGAGGTAATGTAATATTTTCAAATATTTTAAGAATGTTATGTGAAAAAGTATGTAAGTGAATTCTGTACTATATCAAAGAACAAAATTAGAAACAACAAAACTGTTAAATTTTATAGATTAAACATTAATATGAAGAACCTTCCACGGTGCTTGGGTGGCTTAGTTGCTTAGGCATCTGCCTTTGGCTCAGATTGTGATCCCAGGGTCCTGGATCAAGTCCCTCATCGGGCTACCTGCTCAGTTGGGAGCCTGTTTCTCCTCCCCACCCCTCACTCATGCTTTCTCCCTCTCTCTCTCAAATAAGTAAATAAAATCTTTATAAAAAAATAAAGAACTTTCTAATAAATCCCAGCATTTTCAATGATAATGCATTGTTTTGTGAAGTGGTGAGTCCTTTAAATTACACAATCTGTATTCAAATTGTGTTTGATACTGTCGAGGATGATGGAAAAGTGATTCATGACTAGTTGGGAACTTTGACTACATAGGTGCCATTGTTTATTTCAATTCCAGATCCTATGATCTAAACTAAACAATAAGGTAAATAGGATTATGTATGAATAATTAAATAAGAACAATTGGCACTTAAAGATGAATGAAAATATGATTTATCAGTCTATTATTTTTCTTTCAATAAGAGGAAAATAATAAAAACATGATATATATACACACACACACACACACACAATGGGCTTATTGGTATATTAAATTCTCAAATTAATCCCTATAATAATCCCATTGTAAATACAGAGATTTTTTTCCAAAAAAAAAAATCAATTGGCATTAATTTTAACCTTTTTAAAAAGAAATGGAGAACAATTCACTGTGAATATTTTTAAATAACTAGAGCTATATTTTCAGATATATTTGCTTCATTTATTTCAAGTTCAGATCAACATCTGAATTTTTTTTTAAGATTTTATTTATTTATTCATGAGAGACAGAGAGAGAGAGAGAGAGAGAGAGAGAGGCAGAGACACAGGCAGAGTGAGAAGCAGGCTCCATGCAGAGAGCCTGGTGCAGGATTCGATCCCGGGGCTCCAGGATCATGCCCTGGGCCGAAGGCAGGCGCCAAACTGCTGAGCCACCCAGGGATTCCCAACATCTGAATTTAAATTAAAACTTAAGGCATTTCCTTTCTAATTTACCTTAACTCTTACAGAAAGTTATGTATTTAATGTCAGAATAGGCAAACCCATAAAATCATTATGCACAAAAGAAAACAACAGGAAAAACAAAGTGTGTATGCTATACTAACCAATTAGAAGAACTGTTCCAACGGCCAAACCTCCACCTGGAAATAAAACAAAACCAAGAAGAAAATTAACCTAGTTTCATACACATTATCTTTAGCATAAAAGTTAAGCTTTATCAAGGACAGCTACTTTAGTAACTTTAAAATTGCAGATGAGAACAACATTTTAATTACCTTTGCAATACTTTGCTTAAGGTGCTATTATGAAATAATTACATATTATATGTAATTACACACTACACATTACAATTACTTTCATAATATACTGTACTATCCTCCTTTCTCTTGTGATAGGACCATGCAGCATTCAACATAACTGTTCCAGTAATGTTATATTTAGCACTTGTTAATAAATTAACTCAATAGCCAAGACCTAAATGCTCACAGTAACAGAATACTACAGAAGTACAACATAGGAAAGGTTATTATAATAGAAATTCCACTTTAATATTTACACTTAAATTTAATAAGCCTTGGGGAAAAAAAACCCTGATAATTAAAATTAATTCTTTTTTTTTCATTATGAATAACACACACAAAGATTGGACATACTCCAAAATACATTTAGAATTTAAAATAAATAATACTTTCATAATTTCAAACAAAAAAGTCACAATCACAAAAGATATTTTTTGTAATAGCAGAAAATGTTCTTCTGAGTATCTGAATTATGGTGATATGAACACAAGTATAGAACTCAAACAGTGATTCAATAAAAATCAACTTAAAATCAAATTGCAGAAAACTAGAACACTAAAAAGACATTTAGGTACAAATATTTTGTGCAACATTTGTAAAAGTATTACTATTTGCAATTGTTACAAATTATACTAGCAAATTCGCTTAAAAATACGTATATCAAAGAATGAAATATATATAAAATAATTTAAAAAGAAACTGCTCAAAATTATTGGACAATTGAAGAAAATCCTACCAGTATTTTTTGGTTTTGGTGCACAGAACTGTGAAAGAAACACTTAGAATACCAATAAAGAACTTTTCCCCCAACAAATTTTATAGTGGCAAACACTATATAGAAAAACTTAGTATGAAAATTTCCTTTGATAGGGTTTACTTTTTGCCTTGCAAATATGCATAAATGTATGTTTCAAAGAGTTTGAAATTTGGTAACATACACGAACATAGAATACAATGAGACATTTGGTGACTTTATAACTGTAAGTAGAACATTTCAAATTGTTAGAGAAGATTTTAAAAAGAAGAAACTAGAATTTTATATATTTTTATGTTCAGGTGGATTTGTTATATGACTAAATATATACTTTAATTTCACATTTAGATAGGTTCTTTCATTACAGCACTTAACGCCATACCAGACTACACAGGATAACTTCAAATGTTATTCTAAAAAAAAGATTCACATAAACTAAAATATATTGGTTGATAACAACCATAAAGGTTCAAAGCAAAAAGATTTTCTCTAAGATTAGACTAAATGTCTACTTTAGTTTGTGCCTAATATAGCCCACTACTAATCTTTTAAAACATTTTGAGCACTTTATTTTTTAATGCATTCTGAGCATTTCATATTGCTTTCCAATTCCTTATTTCTTTCTCTTACATGCAAAAACATTTAAATGCCTAATCACCATTCTGTGTATATTTAAGACAAACTAATAGATGTACATAACAGATACTGCAATATCTAGTCTAGAGCAGGTACTATTAAAAAGTTAGGTGGTTTTCTTTACTAACATTTCTTTTTTTTTTAAGATTTTATTTATTTATTTATTCATGATAGGCATAGAGAGGAGGGTGGGGGCAGAGACACAGGCAGAGGGAGAAGCAGGCTCCATGCCCGGAGCCTGATGTGGGACTTGATCCTGGGGCTCCAGGATCACACCCTGGGCCAAAGGCAGGCGCTAAACCGCTGAGCCACCCAGATCTTCCCCCTCTAACCTATTTCTTATAGGAAAGATTTAGATTTCTTATCTAAACATCCCTGGGTCTACATTCATGTAGTCTCAAATTAAATTTATATAAGGCCTGGAATAGTAAGTAACTGGAATAGTAAAATACAGAATTAAAGAACTTTTGTGACTGTCATTCATAGTAGGATAAGAACAGATCCAGGAATAGTTTCTCAATTAAATGAAATGATACTTAGCTCAAGTGTCTTGCTCTAAAAGAGAGGTACTCAATAAGAGCAGTTACCATTCTGGCAATTATTTTCTAATTAGAACAAATCATTAAATATATATTATTATTTGATAAAGAGTGATCACTATAATAGTAAGAATTAGTAAGAATACTTCCTATTGATGAATTATTAAGCAAAGCATGATACAAATGAGAGTACACTAAGAAAGTAATTTTCTGTATAAATGATTCAAATAATCCAATTAAATTTTTAAATCTTATGTATACTAAAATTCTAATGTTTGAAAAATTTGAACATTACTTCAAACAGCATAAAATGAGGACATTTTAATGAACTTAGCCATCTGAATATACTATCAGGCCTCCCCTTCAAAAAGTTAATTATCTTTTTTTCTAAATTTAGGGCTCTATTATGTAGATTTACTAGAATTAAATTTGGATGGCTTAAGTAAAGGTTGGTCATAGGGAATAAGATGAAGTCATCTTATTAACTATTTTAAAAATCAAGCTTTTATTCTGTGTGTATGAGGTAAAATGATCTGACATGCACATATATACATACAAATAGCAGCCAAGTTCCTCTATTCTTCCAAATTTCAGGGTGATGAGATCTCACATTTCCCTAAAACCTGTATAAGGGACCTCAGTTGATATACTGAGGTTCTAACTATTTTAAATGAGTAAGTTTGAGTAAGTTTGTAGCCATGTCCTCATCAAAAAATCAAAACCTTAAGTAACCAGCCATGATAGGATATCTTGACAGGATACATTCAACCAAAGCTCATTTTAATAGATCTTTAAATTCAGAAATCCATTAGTAATTTTATTTAATTTCGAAACCAACACAGATTTCACACTAATAGTTCCCAATTAAAATAGACTATCTTTTCCCATTAGTTCACTAAAATGTTCACCAACAGTAAGGAAACGATCATTCTATCTCTGTGGTGAAACGTAAGGAGCAAAATGGTCTTGTTTACTGCCTCTTCTCCTCTTTAATCAGATCTCAGAGAAATCATCAATACATTTAAGTCACTAAGCAAATAAACTTTGGGTTTTACTTATGGATCTTAAGAAGTCTACTTATCTCCAGCTTGCTAAAATACAGGCAGAATAGTTTATCAACATGTAAGATTATTGAGTTAGAAAGCTTGAAGATTCTTTGCAAGTCTGATATTTTAAGTGTTAATTTCATCAAGCATTTTGTCTTAAAACTAGAAAAATCTAGTACTTTATACAAAACATTGCCAGAAACTAAGATCTTATTAAATGACAATTATCTTCTGATTTTATGATTTTTAAAATACTAAGGAAAGGGTTGTTTTATTCATGCGAAGTGGGAAAATAATTTCTAAAATTTAAAAAAAAAAACTTAAGTAGGTTCCATGCTCATTGTGGAGCTTGAACTCACAACCCTGAGATCAAGAGTCACATGCTCTACCGATTGAGCCAGCCAGGAGCCCCAGAAAATGGCATTCAAGGGAGAAAATTCAATCCCCATGCACTTCCCAAAACAAATCTCTAATTAAATCACATTTTGGGTAACAAGGTCAAATTAATATATTAGGATCTGATGACCCAGAAGTGATACCCTGCCCTACTTTGTAAGGCACTCTCATTTTTCAAAATTACAGGAAATAAAAGGGAAAAGGAATAAAAGTCGGAAAAAACAACAGTGATTTATATCAGTCCTTTCTAGTGCTTTCTATAAAGGAATAGTTTTATATAAAATTTTATTTTAGGGAAAATGCAAGGTATAAAAAGTTCATATCCCTTTGTTCATAGCAATGTCCTAAACTTAATTAATGCCACACCTCAAATTAAATTACAGTTTATTTCATTAATAAGTCTACTTTTTCTTCTCTCTCTGGGATGTAGGAAACATCCTGACAACTCTTGATTATCACAACTATTAGCTGAGTAAATATGGGAAACAAAATAGGGAAAGCTATTGACAGTGAGAATGGTTCTGTAGATTAAATGACATGAAACAATTTTACATAGTGATACAAAGGAATAAGCTACCTTTTCCTTAAATGTATAGCCATCTGTTGCTAAACTATCATAACCAGGATTATTTTTAACATATAGTCCAAACTCAACCTACATCCCACATTCTAGATTAAGAGACAGTGGAGCAAGGGAAATAAGCCCACCAGTATTTACTTTTTGACTAGCGTTGAAAGTGGCAGCTACCATCAAATTTCTTTGTGGAGTATTCTACTTCGGGGATTCTTTATCCCAAATCCCTACCTTCCATTCACTTGACTGTCAAAATTGAGTAAGTTCCAAACAGCACATAATTGAGCCAGTCAAAGCTGAGAAATCGCCCTTCCTTCCAGTACCTTTCTGAAGGATACGGCTGGGGACAGAGTTCCCTCAGGTTACACAATATGGTCTTAAGATGAGCTATACCTTTTACCCTGGGGGGAAATAAATTCTTCCAGAATTCTCTACATACTATAAACTTTTTGGCAATTCCTGGAAGAAGAAAAATGAAATATTTACATATACTGTCTTCATATAACATAAATATCCTGGAACAGCAGGGTTGAGAAGCTGAGCTGGAAAGTCTTAGAAGTCGAAAAATTTCAATGTAGTCAACTTAGAAAATGTATATCAGTGTCTAACAAAATTTAAGTTGTCAGAACCAAAGTATTTGATATGATTATATCATGTTTAAAAGATGCTGATACAGGGAATTCTCAAATTCATAAAGCACTTGGGAGTAGGAATGGAAATATTAGCATATCTTCAAATGACCAACATTTGATTTGCCTTTATAATATATTCAAAAATATATTTCAATATATTTTGCATCTATGCTTAAAATTACATTGACATCACAGGGGCAGTAGTAAAATCACCGCACTGCATGGCAGTGACAATACAATATTCACTTGTTTCACAGCAACCACAGAATATATTTAGGCAACAATCACAATGTCATAGTATAGTTTCACCATTCTGATATCATAACATGCTGCTATCATTATATCTTGTCACAATATGTTTATATTAGGCTTGTCACAATCTGAGACAAATATTTTAGAGTAACAATATAATCTGAATTATTTATATATATTTTTAAATTTTTATTTATTTATGATAGTCACACAGAGAGAAAGAGAGGCAGAGACACAGGCAGAGGGAGAAGCAGGCTCCATGCCCCGGGAGCCCGACGTGGGATTCGATCCCGGGTCTCCAGGATCGCGCCCTGGGCCAAAGGCAGGCGCCAAACCGCTGCACCACCCAGGGTTCCCTGAATTATTTATATTTATGTTTATACACATTAGCAGCCAAATATTTCACTTCCAAATAATGTTTTAATGAAGAATAAATGTAAAGTATTTGCTCTACAGAGCCATACAAAATAAAAAATAAAAATACAAAAATGTCATTAAGAAGTTAACAACAACTAAAACACTTCTGGACATAGTAATTATTTCAAATGTACTAACTCCTATGATAACAACCTCTTCTGTGCACTTTGAGAATTAACTGTATACATGCAAAACATATTTCAAAATATCCCCAAACTGATACCTATTTCAATTATCTTAACCAACACCAATTTTTAGCATCAGCTTATTATAAATACTAGTGTTCCCTGCAAGCAAATATGGAAGATTTTTAAATTACAGTTCAAGTTTATATCACTGTTAGGAACATTTAAGAAGATACTTTTGGTTCACTTTTTGGTGAATACTTTAAGAGACCTACTTAAATCAGCCTTGGGTTCAATAAATGCTTAAAGCCTCTTCAAAAGAGTTCTCAAAAATCTGAAACAGCTGTAGCATAGTGAGAACATGAAATTCGAAGCCTAAAGATAACCCTACACTGTCTCAAGTTCTATGACTGTGTTCATGTCACTGTATCTCGGTCTGTTTCTATACCTCAAACACATAACTCATCCCATCTGTTTCATAATCTCGTTCAGGTTTTTTTTTTTTTTTTTCCTACACATTATTTCTCTTTCAAACAAGAACTTGAGAGTCAACTATGTGCCAGGAACTGTGCTAGGCACATTTTGTTATTCTAATAAGAAACTGAAGGTAGGGGATCCCTGGGTGGCGCAGCGGTTTGGCGCCTGCCTTTGGCCCAGGGCGCGATCCTGGACACCCGGGATCGAATCCCACGTCGGGCTCCGGGTGCATGAAGCCTGCTTCTCCCTCTGCCTGTGTCTCTGCCTCTCTCTCTCTCTCTCTCTCTGTGACTATCATAAATAAATAAAAAAAAAAATTTAAAAAAAAAAGAAACTGAAGGTATGTCAGAAATGTGACCTTTTTGTTCGAAGAGATTTAGGATCAAATGAATGAAGTTACATATCTCCATTGGATTGGGGGCGGGGGGAGGAAGGTAAGGACTTAGGAATAGCTTCCAAACTTTAAATTCAAATATAGGATGATACCAGATGTAAAGTTCGCCAGGGAAAAAAAACTGAGATAACTATTTGCTAAGTAGATATTTTGGATCATTTGCTTTTAGTACCATACAACAAACTTGAAAAAAATTTAAGTGAAAATAACCAGGAATTTGTGTAGGAATAACCAGGACCCAGTTAAGAACATGATACAACAAAGGCAAGAAGCTGTGCTCTTCCTCACAGGTTGGTTGCCTTGTCAATTTCCTTTGCACTAAATCGATCTGAAGTGTACCTTAAGGGGAAAAAATATAGAGAGAAATTTCAAGGGTAGTAGAAGAACAAGCAATGACATTTGTAATATTTTGTGAAAGTGTACAAGACTTAACTGACACATATCACATACTATGTAGAAGTTATGATATATAAACACTGACCAACTTTAATGAAGCAACGTTCTGACAGGAATTAAACTAATTTGCAGGCTCTGTTAACACAGCAGCTCTGCTGTGGTCCATCTTTGCAACCTAACAGTTGTGAGACTCGCTATTCTTCCGCGGGCTTCTCGTGAAAAATTACAGAGATTATACAGGAAAGCCTAAGAACTGGATTTCTTTTTCTAATTAAAATGTGAATTGACTTTAAACCATGCCGTTTGCAGTGTAAACTCTGGGAGGCAAAATAGAGAGAGAAAAAAATCTTACAAAAATATATATACATAGAGTTAACGCAGATACTAGGAATGATCATCAGTATCAACGACGGGCTTTAGCTACTTTGTACACACGTCAAGTCTTTAACATCCATTCTCTTAAAGCGGACAGAGTTTTGTTTAAAGATTCACAACTAGGAGATAAGCAGCCTGGCGGTGAAAGACGGGAAGTTACTTTTTTTTTTCCCTTTTTTTTTTTTTCCCTTCCCAGCATTTTCTAACCAAGCCCATCTCTCAACAATGACACAAACTTTTGTAGATTAGGCGAAAGCATGAGCTGTGAGCTACCTGGGGTTGGCAGAAGGATGCCATCAGGGACCAGGAGGGCATCCTGGAGTGGAAGGCCAGACCGTCTCCAAATATTAATGCTTTCCCCTTACTGGGTGGTATTTCGAGATAAAGCCACGTAGGGATCCCGTCGTAACCTAGAAAAGGCTGGCGGGCCAGAACCACAGGAGGAAGTGGGAGCAGGTAACAGCATCTAGGAAAGTCTCCATGCAACCCTTCCTCCCCTCCATCTCCATCTGACCGGACTATCCTCTTCACGTCCGAATGCTGAGGGGGTCAGGGAGAAACCTGAGGTTAGGGTGGCTTCCCCGGCAGGTGCCCTCCCTAACTTCTCCCTCTGTTGAGCCCAATCTCCGTTCCGAACCGACCTAAGAGCTGGTCCAGGGCTGGGAGCCCAGTAGATACCAGCAGCTGTCCGTTGCGCACCGACGGTCGAGTGCCCGCGATGGACACCAGTCGAGCACAGCCGCTGTCAGGGACGCTGGCTCTAGGACCCTTCCTCTGGAAACTGGTGACGTTGTTCTTGCCGGCTGCCGCCGCCGCCGTACATCCCTGATTGCCAGCGCCGGTGCCGCAGGTCGCCGCTGCCGCCATCTTGGAGCTTCCCGCGTCGGCCCAATGGGAACTCTGGGAACTCAAGCCGCGGGCCTATCAGAGCCGGCCCCAAGCTCCCGCCTCCTGCGCTGTCGTAGCCAATAGGATTGAGCACTCGTTTCCGAGTCAGCCAATCGCAAGGAGCAATGCTGAAAAGTGCGCCCTGCGTGGGGACGGTGGACTTCTGCCGGGCCCAGGTGAGGAAGGCCCACCTGAGTCCGGGGTGAGAGTATACCCGGGCTCTCTGGGGCTAGAGGTGGGTAATATCATTAAACGTTTTTCTCCTTTTCGAGTGCCTTCCTACACGCTGAGTTAAAGAAAAGGCTAGCGGAGCGATGTATCAAGTAACTACCGGTAGGAACTCGCACCTTTCTCCGCTCCTTAGTAGAGAAGGGAGATCACTTATCTTTCGCCCCTTGCTCTTCTCGTTTCTGATGGAAAATTCCATTCCGCCTTTACCATCAGGGTTTTTGGGTTCTTTGGGAGTTTTGGTTTGGTCGGCTGTTTTTGTTTTCTTTGTTGGAATGGCGGTCGGGTTAGATTGGAGAAATTGGAACTCTTAAAAATTTGGGCTCAGGTCGTCGCCGCCTGCGGCTGGCAGGTGGTTTGGGTTTAGACCTTAGGAAAAACTCTCGAGCTTGCAGGCGATTTGGGGTTTCCCGTCTCAAAACAGCAAATGACAAAATGTACTTCTCCGACAAGAAGTCCCCGTGAGAAGCTTTCGTTTAATTTTAATTAGTGGTTCTGGAAAGTCTTGGGGCGCGCGTCTCCATCAGTAGCGTGAGTGACAAGTGTTACTCTGACGACCTTGTTCACACATTTAATTGTCATTTGCTGTTAAGACAGCTGCAAATAACAGGAAATACTTTAGGTCTCTTTCCTACCCCCCGCCCCCTAAAAAAAAAAAAAACTGGCATTGGATGTGTACGTACTTTATCTTCCCATCGTTTTGTGAAGTCTGAATTAAGAGTTTTTGTTTTCAAGAATAGGAATTTTATGCGTGGAAAAAAACGTGTTATGCTGTGTCTTTGGCTTTAAAAGTTTGTGCAAAAGTGAGCCCGGGTGGCTCAGCGGTTTAGCACCTGCCCTCAGCCCAGGACGTGATCCTGGAGACCCGGGATCGAGTCCTAACGTCGGGCTCCCTGCATGGAGCCTGCTTCTCCCTCTGCCTGTGTCTCTGCCTCTCTGTGTGTGTGTGTGTGTCTCTCATGAATAAATAAATTTTTAGAATCCTTTTAAGAAAATAATTTTTTGGGACACTTGGGCGGCTCAGCGGTTAAGCGTCTGCCTTCAGCCCAGGGTGTGATCCTGGAGACCCAGGATTGAGTCTCACGTCAGGCTCCCTGCATGGAGCCTGCTTCTCCCTCTGCCTGTGTCTCTGCCTCTCTCTTTGTGTCTCTCATGAATAAATAAATAAAATCTTTAAAAATAAAATAAAATAAAAGCTGGTTGGAGGAGTAAGTGATTTTTTTTTTTTTAAGGTCTTCATGATTGACAAATGTCTGAACTTAAAAAGACTCCCAAAGCGTGCCTGCACTACTAAATTACTGGTTTTGGCAGGGACCTAATGATATTCCAAAACTATACCTATCCACAACCTCATTGACGTTCTTGCCTGTGATTTGTTTTAGATCTCAGTGACTTGTTAAGACTTCTTGGCTGATTCTGTGTGATAAAGTGCAATTAGTCTTGTGAGATAGTGGCTGGTGGGTTTTGTTTTTAAAGCAAAATGTTAAGAAAATAAAACGAACGGCTTTACTATTTAACTGTGTATCAACTGGGAAGCTTGGTCAAAGTTTAGATGCTTTCGTTTAGAATATTTCCTCAGTATAAATTTGTAATATAAATTATTCAGTAAAGAGCTGTTGGGTGCTTACTGTCTGCTTAGACCTAATGTGTCATTTTAGGCCTGTAGAAATAAAACGTTCTCATTTAAGGGGAGAAAGATTAACACATAAAAAACAGCTTAGCGCTTAAAGTGAACACATTGTAAGGCATGTGCTAGTTTTTTCCTGTAGTATATAAGTGCTAAAAAAGGTCAAAACAAAAAGGGATAAAGCAGTCTAATTTCAAATGGAAACTTCTTGGATATTTTTGCTGCTCTGAAAAATTTGAAATGCTACTAATATTGAATTTTTATAAGCTGCTTTACTACATCTTATGTTGTTTCTCCATTTGCTTCATCCTTTAATTTCTAAAAGTGATGGTATGATGGTTTGTTCACGTTATTACTAGAACTGAAGAAGTTTTTTCAAATTTATAATTCAGAAAGCATGCCTTATATGCACACTAAGGCATTCTTGAAATGAGGATGTTTTTCATGTAACATTATCATAGAATAAATTAATTTATCTTAATTTTTTTTTACAAAGACAAAACTTTTACTGTCAAAGCAAATAATGCCAAATACTTGAATTTACCAGTATGTTGAGTTGAATATAAAACATTGGAATAAATGAGGTATTTGTGGAAGGAAAGAATTAAAAGGGTATGTTTAGATGTGATGTTAATAATTTAATATGTAACAACTATTTTGTTGAGCACATACTAAATCCCAGTGAGTATGCTAAGCATTCAGGTTATAGGAGAAAGAATACTTGGTCTCTTTTCTTCTTGAGTTCATAGTTGGGGGAGGTGGGTGGGTAAATAGGATAATAATATGTAAGTAGTATGGAGGACAAATGCAGGATACCTAAGTTGGACTGAGAGAGAGGAGAGGAGCCTGGGAAAGTTTCTCTTGAGGGGAAGTTTAACCTGTGTGATGAAGGAAGTGTAAAAGATAAGGGCATTCTGGACGATGAAAGCCATTACAGAGAATGGGGAGACTATTCTTCAATAAATCTGCTCTCACTGCTTCTGTGCAAGTAGTTCTTGTGATTTATAGTACTCTTAGAGTACTATAGTATATATATATATACTATATATATATATATATATATATATATTTATATAGTACTCTTAGTACTAAGAAGAGACTGGAGAAATTAGACAAAGATCTAATTGATTTTTTTAAAAGTTGTGGCTCTTGTTTTTTGTAAAAATAATGGGAAATGGGAAATCATTGAAAAATTTTAAGTAAAGCAATAACATGACAATCATATTTGATATATTTTGGGCTAAGAGTACACTAGAAAAGAATGGATTGGCTAAGTGTGTGATTGGGATAAGCCTGAGATGGAATTAAGAGATTACTATGAGGAGTAGAATTGATGTGACCAAGGAAATGTAACAGGAGGAATCAAAGATGACTTAACAGATCTCTAAGCAGGTTTGTGGGTAACAGAGGATAAAGAATAAAGGAAAATGGCAGAATTTTGTAGTTCTGGTGTTGGTTGTTTTAGAGAATGGGAGATCATAAAATGAGGTTTTAAAATCTTTTTTGAATATGTTTAATTGGAGGTACCCTAGGAGTATCCAAGTAGAAATGTCCAATACACACTGGGCTATGTGAGAGGGGTCTCCAGATGAAACATATATATTTGAAGTTAATTAGCACATGGTGGGAGTTTACTAAATTCACCAAGGAAATAGGTACTTTGAGGAAAAAACAGAACTAAGAATAAACTTTAGGGAAGATGAGATTTAAAACTTGGACAGAGGGATGCCTGGGTGGCTCAGTGGTTGAGCGTCTGCCTTCAGCTCCGGGCGTGATCCTGGAGTCCTGGGATCGAGTTCTGCATCAGGTTCCCCACGAGGAGCCTACTTCTTCTTATGCCTGTGTCTCTGCCTCTCTCTATGTGTCTTTCATAAATGAATAAATAAAATCTTTAAAAAAAATAAAACTTGGGCAGAGAAACAGAAAATAAAATAAGAATTTGAAAATGTTTGATTTAGTAATTTTGTTTTTCAGGCTTTGTTAAAGGAAGATTTGAGGGAGTAGTAAACTGAAAAGTCAAATAATTGTATTTAGAATTGAGTGGCAAATGGAGCTGAATATTCCATAAAAGCAGACCATTTTTCATTTTAGAAAGCTTTTCTGTGAAGGAGGATAGAGGGAGATGACGAAAGTTTAAGGGAGGAATTTTGTTGTTAGAGGTAATAAGGCACTGGAATATAATTCTGGACACCTGATAAAAGGACCTGAGTGACATAGAAGGAATGGAAATCATAACGCAGGAGAAGGATCAGTATTTGAAAGGTGGGGGGACAATTCAATTGTTAACAGGTGTAAATGAAATAAGCTCTTTTCCCTTCTTTCCGCCATTAAATCTTAGAGACCTAAAGACCATTTTCTCTTTTTTATCCATATTCTTGCTTTTATCTAGTCTCAGGACCTCAGTTAACATTTATATATCAATGACTGACATCTATAGTCCAGGTCACTTCTCTGACCTTCAGAATTATAAATTCAAATACTTACTTTACCAGTTGCTTGAAATTCTTTGTGGGGCCTCAAAATCTTGGTGTCCCAGGCTGAAATTCTCTTGTGTTTTGTATCTTAGTAAATGATAAGACCATTTGCAGAATTAGTTGCATAAGACAAGGAACCTCACTACACTCAGGTCCTCTCTTGAGCATCATTCTATGTCCATTACATTACCAAGACCTATGGAGTTTACTTCTTAATAGCTTTCTAATGGCCTAGGATATACAGCCCTCATCTTAACTCATTTGTAGTATATTCTTCATTCAAGAGCCATCCTAATCCTTTCAAAATAGAAGTCTGATAATATAAAAACAATACTTATTAAGCACCTGCATATAGTTCCCTCCCTTGCCTCTGTGGGCACATCACTCTGTAAATTTCCTTACTCCCTGAAATCTAGCATTTATTTATTCTCCCATGTCCTTTTCCTCTAAAAGTTCACTAGTTAACTTCTATTTATCCTTCAAATCTCACTTCAACCTACATATTCTCAATAAAGCCATCTCTCCTTGCTATCAAACTGAAATCAGCTCCAGGGCACCTAGTTGGCTCAGCTGGTTAGCTGTCCAACTCTTAATTTCAGCTCAGGTCATGATCTCAGTATTGTGAGTTGAGCCCTGCATCAGGCTCCACACTAGGCATG